TTGCAGCTCCCCCTGCTCTTCTTCCACATGGATTTGTGCATAGCTCCTCACCAGCAATAAATTCTGACACCCCAATTTTTTTGGGGGATGTGTGAAGCTCCCATTTTTCCCCATGCCACCACTCTCCCCTCAGCTCCACTTGCTCATCTTCCTGTTGGGATTGGAGGGGACAGAGACCTTTTTGGAATTTTTTTTTTTTTTTGTTCATTTGTTTGGGGTTTATTATTAATTTGGTTTGGGTTTGTTTTTTGGGGTTTTTTGTGTGTTTTTCTTTGCTTCCAGTGATGGACCTTCCCATTTTTATCAAATAAAAGATCTGGCATGAAGACAAACCCCTCCATTTGGTGGTGGAGGTTTTATGGGTGGTTTTTGTTTTGTTGTTGTTTTTGTTTTTTAATTTATTCTTAATTAGCCTGTTTCACACTTCAGATAACTCTGTAGTCCTGGAGAAAAGGAGCAGCATGGATGTGTCTTAGCTAAAACAATTCCATTTCCTTGCACCTTAGGACAGATTTTTTGGATGAAGGATTGCTGAAGTGGATTCTGGGATTCCATGGAGAAATGGGAACTCAGGTTTTTTAAAGAGCCACATTTTGCTCTCTTTTAGATGTTTCTCTAGGACAGGACCTGCTGCTTTGGCAGTGATAGGGGACACTGGGAACTGGCTGGAGAAGATTCCAGCTCTGGATTGTGCTGAGGGCCTGGAGTGATCCCTGTGGCTTCTTTCCAGCTTGGAATTCCACTTGATGATCCCTGTAGGTCATTTCCAGCTTGGAATTGCACTCAATGATATCTATGGGTCCTTCCCAGCTTGGAATTCTCTGTGCTTCCAAAAGGGAGCCTTTTGCATTGCTCCAATTTCTCATTTTTTGTTTCATCTGCTGCTTTTCAAGGAGTGAATTTCCTGGTGGTCCTGTTAATTCCCACAGCCTCCCATTCACTCCTTGCATCCCTCCTGGAACTGCTTTCCTGCTATCTCCCATCAGGATGAAATTATGGACACTACAGATACAAGCAGACTCAGCTCAGATGATGTAATAAAATCAGTTAAATATCTGTCAGAATTAACACATTTCACTTTTTTTTTTCCTTCACTGCTCTTAACTACCAGAATCTAATCCTATGCTGCCTTTTTTTTTTTTTTTTTTTTTTGTATCTTGGTCGAAGTTTGAAGAGTTATTTGTGAGATCCTCCATTATTTTGACACTAAAACATTTTCTTTGAAGGACTGGAACTCAAATGTTTTTTGGCTTAGATATCAGTGGCTTTCTGGGTAAAGAAAATGTAAACTGTTTGCTGTTTGTGCTCCAAAATATGTGTTAGGAAACGACCTTTGGCCAGCAAGTCCAGGCAAGTGCTTAACAGGGCAATGTGAGAGAAAAGGGTTTGCCCTCTCAATAGAGGACTCAGTGTCTGGAACAACTCTCATGAGGTATAACTTCAGCTCTTACAATAAAAAAATACAACAAAACCAAAAACAGCAGCAAAACCACCCCCAAACCACCACAAAACAAAACAAAAAAACCCCAACCCCCACACTAAGAAAAACCCCAAGAAATGGGGCACTGGAGCAAAAATTGTCAATGTTACAGCTTTTTTATATTTTTGGAGCATTATGAGGGGGCAGTGTTGTGCTCTGCTTGTAATCAGGTGCTGCTTCTAGGACTGATTTCATGGAACATTTGGAAGCAAATCAATTCCTCACATTGTAATATGAAATTCCTTGTTTTAAACAAAAGGCAAAAAGAAGTGGCTGTTTGCAAAGCTTCCTTTTTTTCCTTAAATAGTGGTGTCTTTGGAAACAAAAAAGTTAAAATTAATCCATCATTTTGACTGGTGAACATGAAGGAAAGCTGAAGTGATTTTGAGTGGAAGTGCTCAGTGAGGAAGAACTCCTTTGCTTTGTTATTTTGGGCTCCAGGGTTTCAAATTTGAAGTCCAATTTTGGGAGCAAACAACTCTCTTTGTGTTTGGCCATGTGCAATTCCCAGCACTTCAACAAAGCCTGCAACACCTTCCTGGGTGAATATTCCTGCTTTTATCCCAGAATGAGCTCTGGGCTCACTTGGACTTTAAAGCAAGGCCATTATTGTGGTGTTTCAAGCTGTTCAGAAGATTGAGACCCTCTGTTTGCCTTTTCCTCTTTTTAGGATCTCTTTATAGCAAGGAACATTAAGTGTTCCTATAGAGTAACTCACAGGGGTTGTATGGAAACTTTGGGCTATGAAGGGACTGAATTTACTTGGAGAAAGGAGAAGAAAAGAGAATTTAATGATGGACAATCATTGTTAGTCCTGTGGGGAGGAAGGCTTGAGGAGAGCCCTGGAGGGGCTGGAGGCCCAGGAGGGGCTGAGGGAGCTGGGCAGGGGCTGAGCCTGGAGCAAAGGAGGCTCAGGGGGCCCTTGTGGCTCTGCACAACTCCCTGCCAGGAGGGGACAGCCAGGGGGGGCCGGGCTGTGCTGCCAGGGAACAGGGACAGGACAAGGGCAAAGGGCCTCAAGCTGGGCCAGGGGAGGCTCAGCTTGGACAGCAGCAGCAATTTCTGCATGCAAAGGGTGCTCAGGCCTTGGCAGGGGCTGCCCAGGGAGCTTTGCAGTGTCCATCTTTTGGAATAAATCTCACAGGGCTCCATTTTCTTCTTGGTGGAAAAAGCTCATTCTTTATTCACATAACTCCTTTTTATATAATTTTGCAGACCTTGTGTGGGACTCCAATTGGTCAGGAGCTTTTTTGCCAATGACTTTATTGGTTATTAACAAGCTGTTATTCTGTATTGATTGGTCACTCAAACTCTCAGTGTGTACAAGTTGTTTGTAACAAATAGCTTTCATTTCTCTGTCTAAAGTTGTAGAAACAGCTTATACAGGTGCTGGTTGTTTTTTACCCAGGAAAAGATTGTTATGTTAAGGAACTGCTCACACCAGGATTGCTTTCACGTGGGAACTTGCAAAAGGCTGGCTTGACAAGGCCAGCCACTGCTTTTAGGAGAGCAGGCTGATTTTATGAAGACTTTCATTATGATTTTTCTGCCTTACTGTTACACCCATCCCTGCAGGTGTCCCAGCAAGGGCTGGAGGTGGCACTCAGTGCTCTGGGCTGGGGCCAAGGTGGGCACTGGGCACAGCTGGGACTCCATGACCCTGGGAGTCTTCCCATCCTAAAAGATTGCAGGATTCTGTGATGCCATGATGCATCTGCTTACAAAACAGAATCCCAGCAGTGTGTGTTGCTTGAGGAGCAGACTTCTCCTGGGATTTTCTCTCATGCTTTCAGTACTTTGGGGCAAAACTTCTATCTCCAGATGTTTTTGGAGTTTCACCTTCCTGGGGTCAGGAGCTAGAGTCCTGCCAGGTAATTTTGGTGATGTTGATTTTGACACATGTAGTTTATCTTCATTCAGAGGTGCATCACCTGGACTGGGCATTTTTCCCTGTTGTTCAAGAGTAATCCAGCTTTATTTTAAAAAGAAAAATCTGTTTTTTCTTAAAAACTAAGACTGAGTTTTTTATGGATTCCTAAAGGTGTCATCACCTCCTTTGAAGAAAATAACAGTTATTATGCTTATATTTGTTTTTATTTGAAATAGAAGGTTTTAATATTCCTTTTTCTTTAATAGACTTTTTATCATCAAATTATTGCTGTTTTATAAGCAAAGAGAATTAACATTTTTCAGACCAAGAAAATATTTAAATAGTCTAAATAAGAAATATTTTGTTTAAAGTAATGGTTTAAATAAGAGAAGTTTAAATAAGAAATTTTTTAAAACTATGATGATGTCAAAGGGCTTTTTCCAGACCAAGATTCCTTGGACTCTTGATTTGAAAAATGAGCAATTATCTGTTTGAAAGGGGGGAAATACCAGATTAGAAGTAAAACCTCTGCAAACAGAAAGTCCTGTTAACAACAGGAATTTAGGAATCTCTGTGTTGTGATCCAGGGTCTGTGTGCATTCAGGTTTTGGGAATAAAAATTTTGGCCATAGGAACAGGAAACTCTTTCAATGCCCTAACTGTTGTCTTGCTGCAGTTGTCATGTTCAGGACTGTAATTAAAGCTGGTTTGCTCTTTATAAACTGGAGACCAAATTACTTTTTTATCTCCTAATTCCCTTGTTTCTTTGCTTTAATTGTTGGTTGGGAGGTTACAGGAAAAGAAAGTAGGTTGTAGGTTTTTATAGGATTAGCACCCTGGAATGGGCAATTAGTGCTTTTATCTTTAGGAAGTTTGAGAATAAGAATAAATTAGGTGAAAAATATCAGGGAGTGACTCCTGGATGGTGCAGGGCTGCCATTGAGATGTGGGGGTCATTCATGGAAGTAAAGAATTTTGCTGGACACATCCACAACTCCCCTGGCAGAGGGTGCCCAGAGCAGCTGTGGCTGCCCCTGGATCCCTGGAAGCGTCCAAGGCCAGGCTGGATGGGACTTGGAGCACCCTGGAATAGTGGAAGGAGTCCCTGCCTATGCAGGGGTGGAATGGGATGGGTTTTAAGGTCCCTTCCAACCGCAACTGGTCTGGAATTTAAAAACAGACAAAATGCAAATGAAAATCCCACTCATGTAATGCTGAAGAGATGGATTTAGGGAAAGAAGAAGCAAATGTGTCCATGTGTGCTGTTCGCACCTTTTGGGTTCAACTCTCTTGCTGTTGCTGTGGGTTCTGCTGTGCAAATCAGCATTCCCAGTTTTCTTTCATTCCTCAGAGCTTTTTCCAAAAGTTTCAATCCTGAGAGTTTAAGGAGCTGTGTTTGCACAAGGTTTGGGTTTCTTGTGACTGTCATGGAAGGTGATCCTGTTCTTGTCTCCTAGCTAATTTTTAATTGGTATTTCTCTTTTCATGATGTTGTGTTCATGATGTTTTTTTTTTAATTGAGACAGTAGGGGGACCAAAAAAAAAGGGCATTTTTTAACTGAATTATGACTCTTAAATAGAACCATCCCCAGTCAACATTCATAACTGAGAACCTTTGACCAATGAGGTGATTTTTTATTTTTTTTTTAGGCTGAACAAGACAATGGCCATCCTCTCCCTGCCTTTGCCAATCTCCACATCGAGATCCTGGATGAGAACAACCAGAAGCCTTATTTCACAAGGTCTACCTACGAGGGCTTCATCCTGGAATCGTCCCCGGTGGGAACGACCATCTCGGATAACCGGAACCTGACCTCCCCCCTGCAGCTCGTGGTGCTGGACAACGACGTGGAGGAGGTACAGCTGCTTCTTTGGGGCTGCTTGCAGTTTTATTCTTTTCAGGATTCTTTCTTTTTGTTTGGGTTTTTTTTTAATTGAGACAAACCTATTTAGATCAGTGAACACCAAAAAGTTCATTTAATTGTGGTTTTCTGTTTGTTTGCGTTCTGAGTTGGGATAGATTTGGAAGTGGGTTTTTTCTGATTTGTTGTGCTCACATCTCTGGAAGATTCTGTTCTGTTCAAGGTGGTGAATGTTCAGTGCACAGAGGAATCAAAATGCATTTTGTGACAGGGATCAGCCTGCCTCATCTTATGGAAATGGGAGAGGGGAGCTCAGAGAGAAAGGAATTCCTCACTTGAGCCAAAAAGAGGAGGAGTAGGAGGAACAGCAAGAGGCTCAAAGTTCATTGTGTTCTTTGCTCTGCCAGATTTTGTTGTAACATTGCTTAGAGTGGAACTCTGGCATCTCCAGAGGAGCAGTAACCAAGTGGTAACATCTGTTTGGGGGATTTCTTCTTGCTGTGGAGTTCTGCTGTCACTGGGAGAGAGAAAGAAATTCAGGAGTATTAACATCTAAATGAATGGAGAGAGGCTTTTACCAAGGCTGTGCAGTGATGCAAGGGAATGGCTTCCCAGTGCCAGAGGGATGGATGGGATATTGGGAATGAGGAATTGTTCCCTGGCAGGGTGGGCAGGCCCTGGCACAGGGTGCCCAGAGCAGCTGGGGCTGCCCCTGGATCCCTGGCAGTGCCCAAGGCCAGGCTGGAGCAGCCTGGGACAGTGGAAGGTGTCCCTGCCATGGCAGGGGTGGCACTGGATGGGCTTTAAGGTCCTTTCCAAATAAAACCATTCTGGGACTCTCTGATACAGCCAGAGGGGATGAGCTTCATCCTTGGGTGGAAATATTCCATGTTCCTGTTGCTTTGGCATCAGCTGGTTCATGCACAGCCCTTTCCAAAGCTGTGGCATGATGCAGGTGCAACATGGATGTGAGAGAACCAGATGGAAGTGCCTGTGCTTCAGTTCAGTGCTAGGGATTTGTAGAGTCCTTCTAACCTGCAGTGGGCAGGAGAATTCCCAGAATTCCAACTGGGAGTGCAGCAGTTGCACAGAGCTCCCATATAAAATGGCCAAACACTAAAATTGCTCCTCATGAAGCCGGATGGGAACTCAGGGTGGGATTGTTGGCATAGGGAATGGTCATTAACTTCTGCAGGTTTCAGTGTCTTGATGGTTTCATTGTACCTCTGTCAATTGTTGTATTTAGGAGTATATTTAAATTTAAAGATTGCTGATGAGACACTGAGAGAAGCCCCCTCTGTGCTGGTGCATCCCAGTTCCCAATGGTGACCCTGTTCAAACATAATGAATTCTGCCTGTTAATTGAAATATTAAAATGACTCCATGTCCTCAGGTAAATGCTGAAAGAGAGTGCTCCCTTAACTGGGTGTCTGAGGAAAAAAATGAACAAAACCCACTCTAAATTGAAACCCTGTGGGAACATAACAGAGTCCTGCTATAAACCTTGCAGAAATTAATTTATAGATGGGACACTGCAAACAGACCTTTCAGCAGAGCAGCACTGCCAAGTGCTGATCTAATTAAGTGCTCTGTTTAAATGGCATAAATTAAATTAAGCTACAGGAGTACCTTAAGATCTGAGCAAACTAAAGCTGAGATGAGGAACTTAAACTGTGTGAGCTGAGAGCTCTTTACATAAGGCTTCCCAAGCATCTTTTTTTTTTCCTCTTTGGTTTTCATGGGAGAGGATTAATTTATCCAGTGGTTAGGGTTAGTGGTAAAGCTGCACTGAATAACAATTATGGAATGGGATCTTAAAGCCCATCCAGAGCCACCCCTGCCATGGCAGGGACACCTCCCACTGTCCCAGGCTGCTCCAAGCCCTGTCCAGCCTGGCCTTGGCATTCCTGGGTTACCTCATGCAGGACCAGGAGTTGGACCCAATGATCTTTGTGGGTCCCTTCCACCTCAGGGTGTTCTGTGATTCTCTGGATTTTTTAATTTTTTTTTTTTTTTTCTGAGAACTTGTGAGAAATTTGAAACCATTTTACTTCAGGATGTCTTGGCAGCAATGTGAGCAGACAGAGCAAGTAATGGATAAAATAAGTTTTAAATGCAGCTACAAGAGCAGGTTATGAATTTTCAATAATATAAATATAGAAGGAAAAAGAATAGATTTTTTTTTTTAACCAGGAAAGCTGAAGCATTTTAAATACCAAAGTATTTTTCTCTGATGTTTGCCTGATTGCTTCTTTCACTCCTAGTTTTTGTTTGCAATTGTTTTGCAGTCAGTGCTCTCTCAAGGAAACAGTTCTGCTGCCCTTGGGCAGTCCTGCTGTGACATTCCCAACAGTTGTAATAACTCAGGAAATATCCTTCCCAGAACTAAACAGACCATTAATATAATTATTAAAACAAACAGAAGATCAAGGCAAAGACAAAAAGCTGCTTTCATTCCTTTAGGATTTATAAAGATAGGGGTTAAATTTTTTTTATCTTTACACTCAGGGGACACTAGAAATACTAACACTGAATTGCTCTTGTAGCACTGTGTGTCTTCCTTGATTATTTCAGGATTAATATCTCATGTTTTCTGCCTCCTGACACTGCCAGGGAACAATTCCTCATTCCCAATATCCCATCCAGCCCTGCCCTCTGGCACTGGGAGCCATTCCCTGTGTCCTGTCCCTCCGTGCCTTGTCCCCAGTCCCTCTCCAGCTCTCCTGGAGCCCCTTTAGGCCCTGGCAGGGGCTCTGAGCTCTCCCTGGAGCCTTCTCATCCCCAGGTGAGCAGCCCCAGCTCTCCCAGAGCAGAGGGGCTCCAGCCCCTCCATGGCCTCCTCTGGACTCATTCCAACAAATCCACATCATTTTGTGTTGTGATCACAGAATTTCCCCTGCTTCCCCTCTGTAAGGCTCTGGATCTCACATTCTCCAGGTGAACATGGGGAAAGATTTTCTCCTTTCACCCAGAAAAAAGAAGGACAGATGCTGGAAAGAGCTTTCCAACAAAACATTTTTTTCTTGGACATTTCAGTGCTGATCATTTCCCCACTTGAACATGTTGGAAAAATCAGCTGTGTCATCAAAGTGTCTCTGTTGCCACTGCAGCTTTTAGGGGATGAGTCTGTGCTGTAAATTAGGAAGTCTGAGCAGTTTGGGTACTCTTGGAACTTGTTCTGGCTGCCCTGGAGAACTTCACAGCCAAATTGATCCTGTCCAAAAACTTTTGGGATTGTTGAAACACAGAGAGAATAAATACCCCTGTGTGATGGTGTTCACAGGGGTCTGAGGATGAGGGGGGAGATGAGAATGTTGACTCCATGTTTCCGAAGGCTTGATTTATTATTTTAGGATATATATTATATTAAAACTATACTAAAAGAATAGAAGAAAGGATTTCATCAGAAGGCTGGCTAAGAATAGAAAAAGAAAGAATGATAACAAAGGCTCTGTCTTGGACAGAGTCTGAGCCAGCTGGACTGTGATTGGCCATTAATTAGAAACAACCACATGAGACCAATCCCAGATGCACCTGTTGCATTCCACAGCAGCAGAGAATCATTGGTTACATTTTGTTCCTGAGGCCTCTCTGTTTTTCAGGAGAAAAAATCCTAAGGAAAGGATTTTTCATGAAACGTGTCTGTGACACCCCTGGCTGCTCAGTCTCATAATTATCCCCAATAATTTTGGTTTCATCTTCATCAGTTTTAGAGAACTCTTTGCTTTGGGCAGAGTTGTATCCAAACCCTGGTGGGATTTGAGGAGCAGCAGGAGTGGAACATCCACATCCATGCAGGAGTTTCTCCAGAGATTTGTTTTCAAGCAGAACACACTCAAGCCCAGGCTTTGTTTATTGGGTGCAGCATTTTGTGTGCCTCATTTTGTTGGGTTATTTTTGTCTGTAACCATGAATCCCCCAAATGCTCTGCTGTCCCTCAGTCCCAGGTTTGTGCTTCCCCAAGTGTTCATTTTGTGTTTTCCTTTGTAGGTCCCACCAGGTGCCTTCCCTGTAGGTATTGGGTGTTATGTGTGCAAAACACCTTTTTTGGGTTTAATTGTGTGATTTCTTCCTTTCTTTCCTCCCTCATTTCTCCCTGCCCTGCTGCTGTTTGAGGCTGGGACTGTCTCTTGGTTTGTGAAGCCTGAAAAGAGCCCTTTAAACACATTAGACCCAATTTAGGGCATAAAGTCATACATTGTGGTTGCTTAATGTTCATTAAATTATTACAAATCTTCAAAGACATCCTGAGTATTATAAAAGTGATTTTCTAAATTCAAAAATACCTCAGGTTTGAACTGTGTGCTTGAAATGCTCTTTGCAGGTTGCATGTGAACTCTTTTGTGGACTGTGATAATTTTCTACTTAAAATTCCACATTAAACAATTTATCAGAGATCAGCCTTGTCTCCATGACCCAGTAATGTCACCAGAAATTACAATGCTGAATTCCACGCTGCAAAATAAAATTGTTTAAAAAATAAATTATTGAAAATTGTGTTGGCAGTGTAGCTGGGGCTGTTCTCTCTCACATGAAATGTTCAGTTAAGCCAAGCTGGCTTTTCAGGCAGCATAAAATGGGATAATAATGTCCCAGATCCCTGACAATAATGTCAAATATCCCTGGTAATAATGTCCAAGCATAACAATGCTTTTCCAGATGAAGGGAATAAATTGCTCTGTGGCTCTGACATGCCTGGAAGGTGGTAAAATAGGCATTGATTGCTGTAAAGGCAATTACCTTCCATATTAGGAGAACATTTCTAAGAAAAAGATAGCAAAGGAATAGGACACAGTACTCCAGGAGGGTTTGGGATCTCCATCATTGTTTTTTTTTTTTCAGGAATAAATTAGGAAAGAAGTGCTGTTTATTAGTGTTCAAAAGGACACGAAAGCAAGAACTGCAACACTAACTAGGGGTTTTGTAAATTAAATTCTTAACGGGCTTTGTAATGTCTACAAAGTGAGCAATTATGGGCAATTACCTTCCCTAAGTTTTCTTGGAATGAAGAGGTTGCTGTTTGCCTTGCTGGCTGTAAACTGAATTTTCATTTTCCTGGGAGCTGCAGTTGCAGCTTTGGGCACTGAGGAGCCACTGGTGTGGAACACTCGGATAATTCTTTCCCATGGCTTCCTGGAATGTTTTCTCATTTCAATCATGGAATATTTGCTGTTTGGGGGGTTTATTTGGGCTCATTTCAAGCAGTTTCTCTCTGTCCTGGTGCCACCTGGTGCAGGTCAGGGTTGCCTGGGGGCTGGGGACCTGTCCTGTGCTCCCAAGGGTTTTAATCCTCCAGGAATGCCACTAATAGAAGTGGCATTCCAGAAGAGCGTTGGATTCAGAAAGAGTTCAGAGAAGTAATGCTCCTGTGGGGATTTTTTGCTGAATTCAGCTTTTCTCCTTTTGGGATTGTTCCTGGGATTCAGATGGTTCTCCCTATGGCCTTCTCTGTAGGGCTGGGATTTGTGCAATGACCTTGGAAAGCAGCTGGTGAAATGCTGGATTTTCTGTCATGGCTGGGACCACTCCTCTGATTTCTCACCTCCACATTCCTGGGGGCAATTTAAAACACTTTTTATAGGACTTGTCTCCCAGCCTTTTTCATTTTCCTGGAATTTGCATTCCCCTACCAACAGAAACAAATTCTGTAACTCACGAGCGAGAGCAGCCGGAAGTCAGGTTAAACCAACCAGATTGTGGAAAAATAGTTGTCCATACAATTCCAACAGGAAAGTTGTTGGAATACTGTGGGCAACAAAAAGAAATGTATTTTGTTTGAAAATTTAAGTCATGTAGAGTTAAATAACTCAAAAACACCTCAAAAAAGGTGGAAATCAGGAGTGACCCAAGTACTCAAGAAGCTATGAGTAAATTTACAAGGCTTTTTACCTTAAAATATTACTTTTCAGTTCATTTATGATGTTTTCACCCCATCAACTGAGAGATTCTTAATTCTGCATCAGTTTTTTGGATTCTTTCTGGCACCTAAAGAGACCCCCTGAGCTACCTCTGTTTCCTGAAATACTTCACATGTCGTTCTCTTTCTTCAGTGCACTAACCCAGCTGCTTTATTGCTCTGTTAATCAAGTTCAGCTTCTTTTGGGTTTTAATATGAAGATAAATGCTTGAATCTGGTTTCTTATATTAAGTTTAGTCTGGCTTAAAAAATCCTGTTTAATGGGGGGGAAAAAAGACATACATTTAAAACCAGCATACCATACAGGTATTTGTTTAAAACTGGATTTTCTTACTCTAGTAGTTTTTAATACATTTTTCATCAAGAAGATTAGATTTTTAGGCCAGCAGTGAGGGTTTTTTTTACCTTTTTATTTTACAGTTTTTTAGATTTTTAGTCACAGCATTTGTGCTTATTTAGGTTTCAACTAAAACAAGCACTTGCAGCGAGTTGGAGACTTAATTAGATATTTAATATCCCTCTGAATTGATAACAAAATTCTCTTTTTTCCCCCTTGATATTGTTGAAAGACCAAGGATCCACAGCTCCATCTCTTCCTGAACGACTACACCACGTTTTTCACTGTGACCCAGAGTGGCATCACCCGCTACCTCACCCTGCTGCAGCCCGTGGACAGGGAGGTCCAGCAGCTCTACACCTTCTCTGTAAGTTCAAAGAATACAACTCTCTCACTTCCAAAAGCTGTTTATCTCCAGGATTCAGAGCAAAATTGAAAGGTCTGCTCGTTATAGTGGCAATTGTTATCTGTAGGGTGTAAATTTCCATCAGACGCCAGCGCCGTATCTTTTATTTTTTTGCAAATGGAAAAATGATGATTCCTGACACAAAAATCTTGCTCAGACATAAAGCAGCAAGGTCAGAGATTAATAGAAACACAAATGGAAGGAAAATACAAGAAAACAATGCATAATTTCTGTCACTTGGACTGGTATCCAGAGCTTTAGGTTGGATATTAGGAAAAATGTCTTCACTGAAAGGGTTGGACTCAGTCTTGGAGATCTTCCCCAACCTAAAGGAATTTATGATTCTATGCTGATCAACTCAAGGCTCTTCTTTACAGTATAACTGCTGCAAAACATTAAAATATATTACAATAACTATATTATAGATAATGTAATTTATTATTTATCATTAATTAACCATTAATTATAGTTAATAATAATTATAGTTCTATATAATTAACATAATTCTAATAATAAATTAATTATATAGAATTATAGCTAATTCTATAATTAATTAATATTAATAAGCAATTTATTATTAATTTCTTATTAATATTATAATATAGATATTGCAATATGATATTAAAATATAGTTTGCTACAAAACAAACTCTGCATCCATAGAGCTACAAGTAAATAAAATCCTCTGCCTTCTGCTTTGTTAACAAAATACTACCCTGCCTTAAGGATGTTGTCTGGGGTTTTGCCCCCACAAAAATGGAATTGCTTAATCTCTCTTATCCAGTCAGCACAGTGCTTATCACCCAGAAAAGGGAGTGCAGTGAAGGATGAGTTGGTTGAGAGCAGCATTTTAGATTCCCCTGCCAGCACCTTCTCCATGGCCCCAGGATTGGTGCCTGCTCCTCATCCCACAGCAGCACCTGAGCCCTCTTTTTTATTCTCAGCCTTGCTTTTCTTATTGCCTTTTCACTGGAGCCAGGAACATGAGCCTTGTCTTGGGATTTTGCTTCATTTTTGGCCCAAGTTAAAAAAAAAAATAGATGGACAGAAAGCACAGCCAGCAGTATTTTTAGACAAAATAATAAATAAAGAGGGGGAAAAAAGCTGAAATGGATTTAATATTCCCTCAGGTTGTGGGTGAACCCCTTTACAGCCCCGCAGCGATTTGGAAATGGGCTGTGGGTAAACCCAGTTCTTCTGCAGGGGTTCCCAGTCCGTGCCTCCCTATTTTCTGTCCATTTTCAATGGAAGGAAGAGCTCAGATTTCCTCTGTAGAATAAGAAGAGCCCCCAGCTCTGTAATTCCCACCTCAAAATGTTGTCTGGGAGGCCTGATGCCTTGAGAAGGCTGATCTAGAACAGAGCTAAAGAATAAAGCAGGGATTTATCAAAAGGCCTCCATGGATCCACCTTGGGCAGCACAAGAGCCCAGCCAGGGCTGCACCCAAAGTGAACCAAAATGGGCACAAAATGGACACCTGGTCATAGGGTCTATCACTGTGATCAGTTCTGCTCCATTTGCATATTGGAGTTCATTGTCCCATTCCAGCTTTAGCCCCTGCAGTCCCATCCTTGTTTTTCTCTCTTCAGCCCACGTTGTTTGTGCTCTTGGGCCTGAGATTTGGATCATTTGTCCTTGGTCCCCAGCTGGAGCAGGAATTGTTTTGTCTCCCTGCTCTGTGCACAGAGCTCACCATCCCTCAATGTGAAGCTCAGACCCACACACTAAAGCAGCACAGAGTCTGAAAAATACAAAAGCTAAAACCTGAGGCATCAGCTTTAACAGAGCTCCTGGGTGTGGTGATACCCAGGTGAAACCCCATGAACTCAACAGCTCCAATCCCAGCCCCATCCCTGGGAAATTCCAAGTTATTCCCTCTCACTTCTGCACTGGAAAGGTTTGGATGTGTTTGCTTTGTTTTTGCCCCTGAGTCTTGCACATGTTGAATCCTCCTGTAACTGTAAATGCAGAGAGAAACAAAATGCTGATTTTGGGTTGTTAGGCTGTCTTTTCTCCTGTTGGGATTGGATTTCTCTTGGAGTTGTATTGAGAACACACCATTAAAATACATTCCTGTCCTGTTTTTTCTGTCCTTCTGAAGATGACAGCTTCTGATGGAGTCCAGGAGAGTGTCCCAGTCACTGTCAACATCGTGGTGATCGATGCAAATGACAATTCCCCAACCTTCTCCAACATTTCCTACAGTGTCAAGATCTATACGGATATGCAGCCTGGGGAAGGTGTTATAAAGGTAATTTCAGGGCTTTTATTACCTTTGGTAACTCACTTTTTGTTAGCAGTGCATGGCCTTGTTCATCTCAATTGGAAATGCACTGAAACCAGGTAGAAACGAAGTTTGGGTGTCTGCATCCACTTAATTAAATATCTATTCAAAATTGCTAGTACTAAATGTCAGGCCTGTTCTAGCTGTAGAGCTGCAGCTCAGCAGCTTCCTCTGAGGTTCCACAAAAACAATTTTCAGCTGAAAAATCTCAAAAGAAAAAGAAAATTCTCCTTTATTAGCAGGACATTGAGATAAAACATTTTGGGAGAACAGGTAAGCAGTGGAGTAGGACATAACCAGGAATGTTTTCCCATGCCAGAAAACCTGCTGGTTTTTACAAGTTTGTTTGTAGAGTAAATGAGCAATGAAAAATGGGTTGAACACAGGCCCAGAGAGAAGCAGTTTCAATTAAATTTTGGCAGCACTGATTTATGTTTTAGTGCAGGACTGAAGGTGAATCCTGGTGACACTGAAATTAAAGGGAAAAGGCTCTTTTTGTGCAATTCTTCCAAGATCTCAGCCCTGCTCTGAGTGCTGCCACTCCAGATGGATGAACAGACAAGATGCCATTGGTGGCTTCCCAGAGTGATTGAAGGCAGTGGAAATATTGGGAAAATAAAATTAATCAGCTGACTTAAGTATAAAATACCATTTTCTGAACAGTAATCAGGAATTGAGTGTAGCAGTGATGAGGAGATGGTTCAGAAAATGGCATTTTCTGTCCCTCTTGAGCTGTACTTGTGCCTTTACATCTTCAGCTCTTCTTTGTGGTGTTTTGTCCCTTCATCAGTTTGGGCCGTGAGTGTCCCCATCAGGGACAGCCACAGGGGCATTTCCAGCAAAATTTGAGGGAAAGAGAAAAAATTGAAGCATAGTTAAATTCCTTAAGATGCTGCACAAGGCTGGGTGGGAACACAACAGCAAATACTGTTGTCCTGAAAGAGCCAGGGAGCATGAGGCAGAAAATGTTGCTAAACGAGATTTCTGCTGGGGAAAAAGAATGTTTTCTACTCAAGGTTGGCCTTGAGGGTGCTCTGAGCTGCCTGAAGTGTGTTAATGGTACCTGGGATGAAGCAGAGCAGCTCCTGGGGTTGTTGGAAACTGCTCAAGTGTTTCTGTGCTCAGAGGGAAGGTGCTGCTCTCCAGCTCCTCAAACACGTCCTGGTCTTGCAGCTGCAAACGTATTCCAAGCCCGGAGGCTTTCAAAGAGCAGGAGGACACATTTCTTAGGAAAACTGGGCCTGGACAGGTTATTTGGGAAAGGAATAATGGGGAAGTTGGGCCTTTAACTCACCTCTGCTAAAAATTTAAATTACAAGGGTGAGATTGTCCCAAATCCATGCTTCTGTCTGCACAGTCACTACATGGATACTTGCAGGTTTTCTGAGTTTATAATCTGGTCAGAGGGGGAAGGTAGAAAATTCTGGCTGGTTTGGGAGAGGAGTTGTTTTTCAACTCATCCCACATTACCAGATGATCTGAGTTTCTCAATTACCCATCTTACAAAAAAAAACAAAAAACCAAAGCAACAAAATCTAAGGGTTAGGTCGTAGGATTTCAGAGGACTGCTGATGATGCCAGAAATAAAGAGGGGCCAGCACAGGGGGGACCTGGAGCTGCTGCAGAGAGCCCAGGGCAGGCACCAGGATGGGCAGAGGGATGGAGCAGCTCTGCTGGGAGGAAAGGCTGGCACAGCTGGGGCTGCTCACCTGGAGAGGAGAAGCTCTGGGGTGACCAAACTGGGGCCTGAAGGAGCTGCAAGAAACATGGAGAGAGACTTTTCCAAGGGATGGAGTGACAAGGGGGAATGGCTTCCCAGTGCCAGAGGGCAGGGCTGGATGGGACATTGGGAATGAGGAATTGTTCCCTGGCAGGGTGGGCAGGCCCTGGCACAGGGTGCCCAGAGCAGCTGGGGCTGCCCCTGCATCCCTGGCACTGCCCAAGGCCAGGCTGGACACTGGGGCTTGGAGCAGCCTGGGACAGTGGAAGGTGTCCCTGACCATGGCAGGAGTGGGAATGGATGGGATTTGAGTTTTCTTCCCACCCAAACCACGATTCCCTGATCAGGATTTTGGGCAGCTGCACTCTTTGGTAGGTTGCTCAATCTTTAGGTATAAAATACCTATATATATATATATATATAGATATATATACACACTTCATATATGTAAAGGCTTTATAAAGACTTTCTCAAAGGCCAAACTGACTTTTCTTTCCCATTTTTTGAACCCTGACACAGTGATATTGAGGGCTGTTCGTTTTATTGTCTCCCTGAGGAGCAAAGTCACCTTTTACCCCACCCTCCCTCCTGGGGTCTGGATCCTCTGCTGGGAGAGGATTCTCATCTCTGATAGCTCCCAGAGCAAAATCAGTTCATAAAACCACTCTGTCTGATCAGAGAAAAGCAGGTTAGAAAAAGAACACTGACCTCAGAGTGTCTGGACAGTCTCATAACCATCTGTAATAATCAGAATGATTTTCAGCCACTTGGTTTTATTATCCTTAAGGTAATATTCTTACATCTCTTACATTTTTTTTCCAGAGTCAGTTGCAGGAAAATGTACAAATAAAATGGACAAATAGCCCCAGTTTGTGCTTTCTTGCTGCCTCATTTTGTGGGACATTGTTTTGATTTTACTCCTGACAATAGCCCCAAAACATAATAGCTTTTAAGTTGCTTATGTTTGCTGTCTGGTACACTCTTAAAAAAGAAAGAAATTTAAAAATTCTTAAGTTCTGCTTGAAAACAACCACAAATAGCAGGCAAATATATTCATTACAAGCATAATTCAATTTTTCCCCCATTTTTTCCTTTCTGCCTCGATGGCTACACAAAGGACTTTTCCTTCTTTCCCTGTTGCCTTTCAGAGAAGCGACAAAAACAGGTTTTATTTTTATTTCAGTTGTCTCCTCAGTACTTGGGAAATTGTTTCAGGCCTTGGTTGAGAAGAGTTAAGTTTAAATGTCTTTGTGTTTTGTTCCTTTCAGCCTGAAAATTTCTCATTTTTCCTTCTCCTTTCATAGGTATTTTATTGTGCTCCCTGAGAGTTTCTCAACTGAGAAATCTGTGCTTTAAAACAGTTAAATGTGGTAAATTATAACTGTCAGTAGAAAGATTATTAGCAGTAAACCTAGTAAAGTACTTAATTCCATCTTTTTTATGTTATTATATTTTTCTGCCCAGTTTCCCATTTTTTCACTGCTGTGACTCAGATATTAAAATGAGTTGCACGTTGATGGGTGGAGTTTGCAGCAGCGGTGCAACAAAATTTCATCTCAATAATTTGAATCCACTGTTTTTCTTTAGCCATCTCTCATTTTTATATTCAGGATGCAGGGAATAAGGAATATTGAGCAGGAAAATGAGAGAGCTGGGAAGGGACAGATGGTGGCCCATGAGGAGATTTTTTTGTGTTTTGTCTTTAGAGGAAAACTTGTGGACTGGCCATAAATGTAATTCATGGAATCATGGAATAGTTTGGGTGGGAAGGGACCTTAAATCCCATCCAGTGTCACCTCATCCCATGGGCAGGGACACCTTCCACTGTCCCAGGCTGCTCCAGCCTGGCCTTGGGCACTGCCAGGGATGCAGGGGCAGCCCCAGCTGCTCTGGGCACCCTGTGCCAGGGCCTGCCCACCCTGCCAGGGAACAATTCCTCATTCCCAATGTCCCATCCAGCCCTGCCCTCTGGCACTGGGAGCCATTCCCTGGGTCCTGTCCCTCCATCCTTTGTACAGAGTCTCTGTAGCTCCTTCAGGTCCTGGAAGGTCACAATTTGGTCACCCTGAAGCTTTGCTTCCCTAGGCTGAAAAATCCCATTTTGCTCTCCCTACATCCTACCTCAAATTATCCACATATCTTAATTTCTCCGTCATTTCCTAGTGCAGTGGCATGACTCAGGTTCAAGGGCTCTCTTCCAAGAATAATTAAATCATTCCCTGATGAGAAATGGAGAATAAAATTCACAGGGGATCAGCACCCTGTTCCCCACTGAAACAATTTTGTTCTGATAGCACCAGTACAAACTAATTTTTAAGGTCATCCCCTAGCTTAGCCCAAGTTCTTGATTTACAACTCTTAAATGTGCATTGTGCCATAAAAGAGCAGGACAGTTTAGTGGAAATCTTAAGATCATGGAATATCCACAGCTGGAAGGGACCCACAGGGGTCATGGATCCATCTTGGCCCATGAGGAGATTTTTTGTGTTTGGTCTTTAGAGGAAAACTTGTGAACTGGCCTTAAATGGAATTAATGGAATTACATTTCCATTGCAGGGGCTCCAACCCCTGGCCCTGCCCAGGCTCCCCAACAATCCCACCCTGTGCACCCCTGGGAATGTTGTCCAAACTCTCCTTGAGCAGCCCTGGGGCTGTGACCTGTTCCATGCCTGACCACTCCTGAATGTTTGCCTAAAGCAATCCTCACAGAAGTCATCTCCAAACCCCACCTCATCTTTTATTTATGTGTTTATTTGCAACCTTTTGCCTTCTGCCTATCAGGTAATTAATTCCCATCTCCAAAGCAAACCTGATTAGCAGAGAGAGAAAACAAAACTGGGCTTTGTTTGCATTGCTCAGCCAACGTCCCTGCACAGTCAAGGAAAAAATAATGGATTGAATGCCTGGAGGAGATAATGAAAAAATATTTTAACCTACTCAGAGATCATTATGTGGGGTTGACTCAAGCTCAGGAATATCTCCATAAATTCCTGGAATTTTTCCATCACACTGAGTCTGGTGAAAGCTGCTGGGAATGTTGGTCATCACTTTATCTGTCCAGGGCCAGGTGACCCCAAATGTTGCTCTGAGAAGGTTCCAAGTCAAACATTGAAACCCAGTTTCCTCCAGTAATGAACTGAGTCTGAGCAGGTTTTATATCATATCCAAGATGTCTTTGTAAGCTTAAGGCTACCCTCCTAAACCTCCTTCTCCTCTCAAGGAATCCACTCCTAAGTCTCCTTTTCCTCCCAAGAAAACCACTCCTAACTCTCCTTTTCCTCCCAAGAAAACCATTCCCAAACCTCCTTTTCCTCCCATGAAAACCACTCCTAACTCTCCTTTTCCTCCCAAAAAATCCACTCCTAAACCTCCTTTTGCTCCCAACAAAACCACTCCTAAATCTCCTTTTTTCCCCCCAAGAAAATTATTTCCAAACCTCCTTTTCCTCCTCAGAAAACCACTCCTAAGTCTCCTTTTCCTCCCAACAAAACCACTCGTAAGTCTCCTTTTCCTCCCAAGAAAACCACTCCTAAGTCTCCTTTTCCTCCCAACAAAACCACTTCTTGCTGCAGCAGAATCCACACCTATTTTGCCAAACTTTTAGTACATTAAATGTTGATGCAATGGAGCTGATCCTGCTGGATGAAAATTTCTCAGCAGAGTAAATGAAACATTGTTTTGTTCTTCTCCCTTTGCATTTTAGCCCCTGTTTCTTAAATCTTGTTAACTATGGAGCTCTATCGGGCTGGGACAGCTGGAGATGGGATTTCTGGAATCATGTATTATGGCAGCAGCTAAACCTTAATTCTGTTTAATCCCAGGTTTGATTCTTGGTTTTGCCCCCAAAATGTTTTTCAAATTACTTATCTTTCCAAGCATTTGTAGGTTTAATTAACCTCCTAAATCTCTGTGCTTGTGTAGTCAATTAATTTTCCTTTTTCATGTCGTCCCAGTAAAAACTGGCCTGGTTCCAAATCCTGCCATTAAATCCTCAGGACCCTGTATTTTGCATAAAGGCTTTATCTTTTTGGGTTTTTGTGTGTGTGTGTATGTGTTACTTTTGAAGTTCAGCAGACAAGGTTTTTACAGCTCTGTCAGTTGGGTAGATAATTATTCTCTGCAAGGTTAATTAACACACCCAGGTATGTATAGAAGCTATAGAAGGAGTGATTAAATTGCAGTTTTCATAGCATGGATTCCTTCAGAATTCCTAAGAGAATAAGAGAATGAGGTAGATTTAAAAAAAAAAAAAACCCACACAAATATTAATTTGTTTTTTAAATTTTTAAGAGGAGATGGCCTCTGTTCCATGATTTTTGGGGCATTTTAAGCATTTATCACTATGTAATGTGTCCCAAAATGCTGTAGGAGATGAATTAAGATTTGTTTTTAAAGCTATTGTGGGCTTAGTTCTTGGTTTGCAGAATATTTATGACTTTCTAAATGAAATTTTGTATTTCACTGAGCCTTTGTGCATGAAGGATCAAGGATTTAAGATCTTAGAAGCCAGTAGAAACCCTGAGTTTTTCCCTGGAGGTGTCCAAGGCAGGCTGGATGGGTCTCTGAGCAGCCTGGTCTAGTGGACAGTGTTCCTGCCCATGGATCTGGATGAGCTTCAAGGTCCTTTCCAACCCAAACCATTCTGTGATTCCATGAATTCACATCCTCCCCTTGGTGCTCAGAGTTGTGTGAAAATGGGATTTATTCGGATATTGCAGCTTTGGGGTTTACTCTTGTTTTACTGGCAAGGTTTGGTTTCTGCTGTTCTGAATCTTCAGACATCCTTGGGCAAAGGTGGGTTGGCAGTTTTGGGCAAAGGTGGGTTGGCAGTTTTGGGCAAAGGTGGGTTGGCAGTTTTGGGCAAAGGTGGGTTGGCAGTTTTGGGCAAAGGTGGGTTGGCAGTTTTGGGCAAAGGTGGGTTGGCAGTTTTGGGCAAAGGTGGGTTGGCAGTTTTGGGCAAAGGTGGGTTGGCAGTTTTGGGCAAAGGTGGGTTGGCAGTTTTGGGCAAAGGTGGTTTGGCAGTTTTGGGCAAAGGTGGTTTGGCAGTTTGGGGCGGTGGGTTGGCAGTTTGGGGTGGTGGTTTGCAGCTGTGGGTGGTGTTTTGGCAGCTTTGAGTGATGGTTTGCAGCTGTAGGTGGTGTTGTGGCAGTTTTGAGTGGTGTTTTGCAGCTGTAGGTGGTGTTTTGGCACCTTAAGGTGTTCTTTGGCAGTTTTGGCTGGTGGTTTGGCAGTTCTAGGTGATGGCTGGCAGCTTTAGGTGGTGATTTGGTAGTTTGGGGTGCTGGTTTGGCAGTTGTAGGTGGTGGTTTGGCAGTTTTGAGTGCTGCTTTGCCAGCCTTGGGCAGTGCTGTGGGAGGCTGTGAGCTGCTGAAGTTGATGTCGCGCTGCACTGTTCAGTAGATGATTTTCCATCCTAGCATGGCAGGGCCATCAGGGAGCTCCTGTCCCTGACTCCAGGTGTCACAAGGTGACGAGGGCCCAGAGGCAGAAGCTGAGGCTGCTGTCTGGCTGGCCTTGCCTCAGGGACTGGCTGTTGATCCTGCCTTTGGCCTCACAGTGGGTGCTGAGGTTTTCCATCACTGCTGACATCCAGCATTCCCCTCCTCCATCCCTGCTGCCCCAGGGCAAGAGTGTTTGTGTCAGGAAAGCCAAGGCAGAGACCTTTGAATTTTCATCCTCACACTGGGATCCCTGCAGGGATCCTTCCTGAGGCTGGGATTATTTTGGACATCCCAGGAAAGCTCTGCTGTCACCCCTGCTGGTGCCCTTTCCCATTCCCCACCTCCCACTGCTTGCCTGGAGCTGGGAGCAGCAGAGGACACCATGGTGCCATCATTCCCTGTAAGTTCCACTGCCAGCTGGATGCACAGCTGGGTGCTGTGACCTGCTGGATGTTCCAGTGCTGCTCAGACCACTTTATGTCATTCCTTGTGCTGTTTGAGGGAGTGTTGTCCTACAGAATGAAAAGACAGCTGAGGAACCTGTGTATCAGCAAAATAACTCCTAAAGGAGGAGGGGACAGCAAGGCCAGGTTGAACAGGGCTTGGAACAACCTGGGATAGGGGAAGATGTCCCTGCCCACGGCAGGGGTTGGAATGGGATGAGCTCTAAGGTCCCTTCCAACCAAAACCACTCTGGGATTTTTTTCCATGACTAAAAGCAAATATATTCCCTGGGCTCTAATTCCTGGCTGAGTGTGTGTTTGATTTAGCGTGGCTCACTACAGAAACAGGACAAATCTACTGCCTTTCCCAGGGGGGAGAGAAGAAACCCCTCATTTCATTATGGTCACCATTAGAATTTGGGTCTAATACCAGGATTTAGATTTTTCTCAAGGGATTTAAAGACAATGTGGCACTTGGGAACCTGGGTTAGTGATGGCATTGGCAGTGCTGGGTTAACAGTTGAACTTGACCACCTTAGAGGGCTTTTCCCACTTCAATGATTCCATGATTCCAGGTGTGTATCCATATGGGAACAGCTGCCATTTCCCTTCCCCTTGGCTGCCACAGGCTGCATATGCCTTGGCTGCATATGAGCACAAACATTGCTCTGCACGAGGAGGGCTTGGAATGCCAGGCCTGGACATGAGACTTCCTGGCACTACCAGGGCTGTCACCTGGAAAAGTGGAGAGAAGGATGGGAAATAAATAAATACAAACCTCTCATTACTATTGAAAGACAAAAAGTTGTCAAAGAAGACAAAAAATGTCTTCTTCTCACATGAGAAAGTCTTATATATTCCAACCCACAGGGAATAAGCTTGGTCTAAATAAGTTTCTTTATTTGTATCTTAAAATAATTGTCTTGCAGTCTTTAGCAAGGAGTTTTTCTCTGCATCATGATGTTTTTACACCTATTACTGTACATTTCAGCTGTATCTTTGTTAGAAATTCCTGTGCACGTTCCAGACGTCCGAGCTCCCTTCTCCTCCTCCAGAATCACCTTCCCAGAGCCTGTGGAATTGTTAGCTGTCTCTTTGTTAGAAACTGGAATTGTTAGAAATTAGAATTTAGAAATTAGAATTGTATCTTTGTTAGAAACGCTTACTACTGTACATTTCAGCTGTATCTTTGTTAGAAATTCCTGTGTACATTCCAGATGTCCGAGCTCCTCTGGAATCACCTTCCCCTGCTGACCCTGTGGTTTTTGCCTTGCAGCTGACGGCCGTGGATGCAGATGAGGGAGCCAATGGGCAGATAGTGTATGAAATCCTGGCTGGGGCTCAGGGGGACTTCATCATCAACGAGCACACGGGCCTGATCACCATCGCTCCGGGGGTGCTGCTGGCCGTGGGGCGCTCCTACGCCCTCACTGTCCGAGCATCTGACTGTGCCCCCCCTGCACAGAGAAGGTAATTAATGCACCCCTCATTACTCCAGCAGCTCAGCCATAACACCTGGGCCACACTCCCATGTTCTCTAGTCCACGCCTCTGTTCTGGAAAAGTGGCACACGCAGTAGAATTCTTGCCCTTTGTGTGTGGGGTTCGCATTCTCTCAGCCTGGGAGAAGCGGAGAAAAGAATGATCAAAACAATTCTTATCTCATTTGCTGTGCCTGTGTTTTGCCAAACTAGAATGGAGATGGTCTCCAAATATGGAGATTGTTCACCCAACGTGTTGGTGTTTTGTTTCCTTGGCCTATCAGGGCCAAGTGTGTGTGTGTCAAGACTGTTGGCTGACAGTCATGAGATGTTGTGTGTGGTGTTTGTGAGGTCCCCAGGATGAGGTGAGAGATGAGAAGTTGACTCCATGTTCTCAGAAGGCTGATTTATTGTTTTATGATATTATATTATATTATATTTTAAAAAATGCTATACTAAAACCATACTAAAGAAAGGATACTTCAGAAGGTTTAACAAGAAAGATAATGAAAGCTCATGACAGACTCAGAGTCTGACACAGTTGATGGTGATTGGTCATTAATTAAAAACAATTCACATGGAACCAATCAAAGATGCACCTGTTGGTAAATGATCTCCAGACCACATGCTCTGAACCTGGGAGAAGCAGAAAAAAGAATGATCAAAACAATTCATTTGCTGTGCCTGTGATTGTACAAAAGTGGAATGCAATATGGAGATTTTTTACCCAGAGTGATAGTGTTTTGTTTCCTTGGCGTGTCAGGGCCAAGTGTGCATGTGTCAGGACTGTTGGCTGACAGTCATGAGATGTTGTGTGTGGTGTTTGTGAGGTCCCCAGGATGAGGTGAGAGATGAGAGTTTGACTCCATGTTCTCAGAGGGCTGATTTATTATTTTATGTACTTATATTATAAAAAAGAATACTAAACTAAAACTATACTAAAGAAAGAGAAAGGATACATCAGAAAGCTTAACAAGAATGATAATGAAAGGTCGTGACTGACTCAGAGAGTCTGATACAGCTGGCTGTGATTGGTCATTAAGTTAGAACAATTCACATAGAAACAATCAAAGATGCACCTGTTGGTAAACAATCTCCAGACCACATTCCAAAGCAATCAGATAATTATTGTTTTCATTCTTTTCTGAGGCTTTCCAACTTCCCAGGAGAAGAAACCCTGGTGAAGGGATTTTTCAGGAAATATCATGGTGACATTGTGCAGTTGAGTGCATGGCAGATTCAGTTTAGATGTAATATAATACAGTATAGAATAATATAGCCTAATAAAGTAATTAATTATAAATTAATTAATTATAAAGGTATTAATTAGCCTTCTGATATCAATGGAGTCCTCCTCATCATTCCTCCCCGACGCTGGGCAAAAATATCACTGATATTTGTGGCCCTAAATGATGTGTCCCTTACAGCATTGGGTTTTCATGAGTTCATTTGCATGCCTTGGTCTGCTGTTTAAAAGTTCCCAGTTGTGCTGTCACTGTGCCTGTCTGTTCATTCATTGAGGTGAAGGGGTGGAAAGAAGAAAGCAAGTGAGAAGGGAGATGGTTTTTGTTCAGAAGATGCAAAAAGGATCCCAAAGAATGGTGTTGCTGAGCTGGAGAGCCTCTCCAGGTGTAGGGTATGCAGTGTCCCCACTAAGACTGAAATTCCTCAGGGCAAAATTATCTCTATTGTACCCCAGCTGAAAAAGAGCAGACTGCAAATTTAGGATTTAGGCAGGGAGGGGAGCATCATCATCTTTAAGGTCCTTTTTTACCCAAACCATTCTATGATCTATATGTTCAAAAACCAGCAAAGTATCAAGGCCTGCTTACCTGTTTGAGTGGAGTTGGTGTTCTATATGTGCCAAAATGTCATTTCATGAAGGTGTGGAGGGAACAAAAAATATCTCTTGTATCCTGAGCCTGGTATTGATAATGTGCAACCTCCTTGTCCAAAGAGCATGAAGGGAGGAACAGGAGGTTCCAGCATCTAAACCTCCCACAGCTGTAACGTGAAAACCTCTCCTTCAAATGGGAAATTTAGGAAGGAAATAAAATACAAGAGTGGGATTTCAGTAATTGGATTTTCCTCAGGACCTGCTGCTTCTGTCGTGTCTCCAAGAAAGCAGCTTGTGCTGTTGTGCACATATTTTATAATTACTGTCCATTCAACTTGTTAAGTTGTTCATAAAATTAACATCTGGTAGCAGTCCCTGGGCTGAATTTCACTCTTTTTTTCCTCCTGCTTGCTTTTTTGATAAACCTTCTCGAGCTGGCAGCAGGCTGCTGGTACTGCTGAGGAGAAGACTGAGGACAATTATGCATTTATTTTCTGTAGTGCTTCAGAGAGAAGGCCAAAAATCAGCAATTCCCCTTCAGAGAGTCTGAGATCCCCATGGTGTCTCTCCACACTACAGCTCTGATTGCCATCAGCTCCTTTTGTGCTGGAGAAATCTTTGTGTTGCCTAAACACATGTATTTCTGAGGATGGATGTTGGGAGCCTGGGCTTCCTCCTCTGAAAATGCCTTCAAGACAAATAAGAAGTGGAAAGCTCTGCCAGGATAACCAAAGTCACCTGGAAAGTGGCTGGATTTCAGTCTCCCCCTTGCTTTTGCACAAAGCAAAACCCAGCCACTGAACCTGGCTCAGGAACTGTAGCTCTACAGCCTTTGTGAACACAAATTTAAATTGGAATTGGGAATTCTGTATAGGTTTGTGGGTTTGTTTTTTTTTCATGGAATGACATTTAAAAATGTTGGTGAGTGGCTGTGTCCCAGCTGAGATTTGGGGTTTGAGTATTATTAATTATAATTATTCATGTAAGTTATTGAGATATCATGGAATTGTTGAAGTGGGAAAAGACCTCCAAGATCATCAAGTTCAGCCTTGTCAACTAAACCACAGCAAGTGCCACATCCAGCTGTTACTTAAAACCTTCCAGGGCTGGAGAATTCACCCCTTCCCTGCACAGCCCACTTCTATATTGAAGCACAACTATTTCTGGTTTTGGAAAAAAAATTAACAACATTTGTAAAATTCAAGAGTTTCAGGTCAGACTTTAAACTTTTCACAGTCCCTCGGATTCCTGGACATGGGATTCATATCACTTGGTGATACAAGGTTCTGCTGGAGCCAGTCAAGATAGGTTGGTTCACATGGATGGAAATCCATTCATCCTGGATTTTATAATTGCCCACAGCAGCTGGGGCTGCCCCTGGATCCCTGGCAGTGCCCAAGGCCAGGTTGGATGGGGCTTGGAGCAGCCTGGGACAGTGGAAGGTGTCCCTGCTGTGGCAGGGGTGGCACTGGATGAGTTTAAGGTCCTTCCCAACCCAAACCATTCCATGATTCCATGTGGAGATGATTTAAGCAGAGATGGGGATGCAGTTGACTTTCCATCAGCTGGTGGGGCACAAAAGCTGTTTTTCCATGCTGGACTGTTTTGGGAGCTCTCTGCACTTCCCAAAGGCTGTGCTGGTCTCTGGGTATTCACCTGCAAACACCAGCTGCAGTGCTTGCCTCAGCTCCATCTCCTTCCCCTTCCCATGCCAAAGGAGAATTTGCCAGCTCCTTAACTGGGCTATAACCCACACAAAAGATACAGGGGGGAAAAAATGCAAGGTGTTAATAAAAAAATGGATTGGAATTGCAAAAAAAGCCATTTCATATTAGAGTGCTTTTAGTTTGCAGACTCTTAGTGCTTTGCTTCTGTGGTTTTGCCTTAAATATTTGAAGAAAATTTGCTTCCTATTCCTAGAATCCCAGAATGGTTTGGGCTGGGAGAGTCCTTAAAGCCCATCCAGTCCCAGGGCAGGGACACCTTCCACTGTCCCAGGCTGCTCCAGCCTGGCCTTGGGCAGTGCCAGGGATGCAGGGGCAGCCCCAGCTGCTCTGGGCACCCTGTGCCAGGGCCTGCCCACCCTGCCAGGGAACAATTCCTCATTCCCAATATCCCATCCAGCCCTGCCCCCTGGCACTGGGAAGCCATTCCCTGTGTCCTGGCAGTGAATCCTGTCACTGTGTGTGAGGATGTGCCCTGAGGGGCAGAATCCCTTCTCTGGGGGTGTGATCTGCCCTTCTGGAGAGCAGTTTGTTATCCTGGAGCATGGCCAGGTGTGGGACAGTCTCCAACAGTTCCTCTCAGCCCTGGCATTGCTCTGCCCAGCTCCATCCATGATCCAGACCTCCAAAACCTGCTGGGAAAGGGCAGTGGGAAACACCAACAGCACAGTGGTGACTCTGCTCAGCCACAGTTTTGGGCAGCTAGTAAAGAATATTGATCAGTAATGTGTTGTTTTCATATTCAGTGAGTTGTCTCAGTTAGTACAGCAGCTGTTTCAATAATAAATGTCTGGTAATTTTGGGTAGGACCCTCTAAAAAAGCTCTGGAGTTTGCTTGCCCTGCAAGAAGCAGCTCTTTGGGTTCATGATTTTCTTCTCTCTCCCTCTTCCTGCCCCACCTTCAGAAAACTGGGACAAATCCCTTTGTTTTCTTTCCTGCAGCTCTAAACCCTGAGATTTATCAACACAAATCCAAGGATTTATGAGGGGAAAAGCTACACCTGCAACACAGCACTTGCTCTTCTCAGGAGTTTGTTCTGGGGTGGGGATGCTGTGCTGGCATCCAGGAGGGGAGGCAGGAGGGAGAGAGGCAAGAGAAGATCCTTTCAAGTCACATTTTTCATCTCCAGGGGGACTCCTGGCTCCCTTTCTCAAGTTGAGGCTGTGGGATATCAAGTGGGTTTACACGATGGTCTGTGCAGGGTCCTCAGTGTCAGTGTCCCAAAAAACCTTCAATATTTCATCTGGAATGCTGTTTGCAGTCTGTCTGGGACAGGGATTCAGTGCAGCTCAAGGGTTTGCAGCCTCCTGCATTGCCACTGCTCTGAAATGGGATTTATTGCTCTGACATGGGGGTTACTGACCCACAGCATGGCAGCAGAGTTGTGTGCTCCACTTCTCCCAGCATTTCCCTCTCTGCCAGCATTCCCTGCTCCCTCTTTCCAAGCTGGCTGCCAGCTGGGATGCTCCAGGGGTGGCTGTTGTGTGTGGCAGGAGCAGTTCCCAGCCTGCAGTTTGAGCTGCTCCTGCAGAGGACCCAGCACAGCTGGAGCTGTTTGTTTGTGGAGCATGCACTGATATCTCACTGCTCTGGTTTTGAAATTACACCACTTTGGGCTGCTTTGGGGGAAATTATTGAGCTTTTCTTCCTGTTCAGAGTTCCTCCACAACTCCCTGAAAAGTGGCTGTGCTCAGCTGGGGCTGGGCTCTTTCTCCAGGCAGCACTGACAGATCCAGAGGACACAGTCTCAAGCTGCACCTAAGGAAATGTAGGTTGGATATCAGGAAAAAGTTTTTTACACAAAGAGTGATAAAGTTCTGGAATATTCTGCCCAGGGAGGTGGTGGAGTCACCATCCCTGGATGTGTTTAAAACCAGCCTGGATGTGGCACTGGGTGCCAGGGTTTAGCTGAGGGGTTGGGGCTGGGTTGGACTCGATGATCTTGGAGGTCTCTTCCAACCCAGTGATTCTGGGAATGTGGCAGCCTGCTTTCCTTTTGATCCAGAAGGAAAAATATGTCCTGAAGCTTTTAGAGGAGCAAAGGGAGGCTGTTAGAGCTCGAGAACACACAGTGTGTAAATCAACCACTGTGGGCTGCCTTGTGGATTGGATTTATTGATTCTGACTGGTTTTAACTGTTTTTTTTCCCCTTGCACTGCAGGAGCTCCATCACCACTGTTTACATCGAGGTGCTGCCTCCCAACAACCAGAGCCCCCCACGCTTCCCACAGCTGATGTACAGCCTGGAAGTCAGCGAGGCCATGAGGATCGGCGCTGTTCTCCTGAACCTGCAGGTACACAGGGGCCTTCCCTGGATGGGGGCTCTGTACAAATCACAGACTCCAGGTACACAGGGGCCTTCCCTGGATGGGGGGCTCTGTACAAATCACAGACTCCAGGTAATCGGGGGGCTTCCCTGGATGGGGGCTCTGTACAAATCACAGACTCCAGGTACACAGAGGGCTTCCCTGGGATCACTGGATGGGGGCTCTGTACAAATCACAGACTCCAGGTACACAGGGGCCTTCCCTGGATGGGGGCTCTGTACAAATCACAAATGGGATGGGGTTGCTGGGAACGTGCCTTGAGCTGTTTTATTTTCCAGCATCAGTCTCATTCCATGGTTATGACAATGGGAAGATGCCACCAGCTCGCATCTCAGGCACCAGACCAACAACTTAATGTTACAATTCACTTTATAAGTTGTTTGACCAATCACACAAAGCAAAAAGCACAGTGCCAGTAGTTCTATCCAACCACCATAAGCACAGGTACCTTTGGCTAAACAATGCTTGCTTATTTTGAATACAATACCTGCTTGTAAGCCCTAAAACACAATGCACAGAGCTCCATTATTAAGCTTAAAACTCCCTAATATCTTGCTAGATAAACTTTTCTGCAGCTTAGGGAGTTATTCTACTCCAGGTACACAGCGGGGCTTCCCTGGGATCACTGGATGGGGGCTCTGTACAAATCACAGACTCCAGGTAATCAGGGGGGGCTTTCCTGGCTGGGGGCTCTGTACAAATCACAAACAGGATGGGGCTGCTGGGAATGTGCCTTGAGCTGTTTGATTTTCCAGCATCAGTCTCATTCCATGGTTATGGCATTGGGAAGATGCCATCAGCTCACATCCCAGGCACCAGACCAAGAACTTAATTGTTACAATTGTTTCAAATGTTACAATTCACTTTAAAAGTTGTTTGACCAATCACACAAAGCAAAAGCACATTGACAGCAGTTCTATCCAACCACCATAAGCACAGGTACCTTTGGGTAAACAATGCTTGATTATTTTGAATACAATACCTGCTTGTAAGCCTTCAAACACAATGCACAGAGCTCCATTATTAATCTTAGAACTTCCTAACATCTCTCTAGATAAACTCTTCTGTAGCTTAGGGAGTTATTCTAGACAAGCATTAATACACAGACCATTGTTCTATTTGTCCTTACTTTTCTACTTCTTACATAATTTTTCTGCTGACCAATCTCATGGCTGCTGCTTGGCTCTGATCACAGTTCTGCTGTCTCTGAGGCCTGCCTTTTGCAGCTTTCCCAAACCCCTCTGATTTTAAGGATTCCAACACCCTGGCACACCCTGAGGCTGCTGAAACCCTCTCCACCTTCCTGCCCTCTATGTCATGCCTTGCACAAGCCATTCCTTACATCCAGGGGGGAAAAGGGGCACTTCAAAAGGATTGAAAATAGTTTCATTTTGATCAGCAGCCCCTTTTACATGGACTGCAGAGGAAAAGGGCTCACTTGGCTGTTTCTGTTACTTCTTTGTTTGATTTAAATATTGTAAAAGATGCTGTAGACTGCAAATGTCACTGCTCAGAGAAGCTGGGGCTGCCCCTGCATCCCTGGAAGTGTCCAAGGCCAGGCTGGATGGGATTTGGAGCAGCCTAGGATAATGGAAGGTGTCCCTGCCCATAGCAGGGAGTGGAATGAGTTGATTTTCAAGGTCCCTTCCAATCTAAACCATTCTGGGATTCTATGATAGTTATATTAGAAAAAATTCTATGAGTGGCTGGGAACTTGAAAGGAATGTGATTTATTATGTTAGAGTGTCTCTCTGTATTAGCCAACAGATCAGAGGATTCTGATCAGAGCTTCAGGACCTCATTCATGGGGAATTTTAGTAAGATTTTGAGCAATTGCTTTCCCTAGCCTGTCATTTTTGAAAAATGCCTGAAGATATTTCTACCCCTTGGTGTGTGTAACAACAGGCTGAGAGGGAGCAGAGATCCCAGTGCTGCCAGGCCCAGGATTAGTGGGACCTTGTGCCCTGGGATCAGGGATCATGCAACAGCTCCTGGCCAGGTCCAGCAGCAGGAGCATCCCTCATCCTCATGCACCAGGACCAGACCTCCCTTTGCTGCACTAATAGATAAAAAATCAGTTCTCTCCTGACTTATTTACTGTTTCTTACCTACTGCATTGTTTTCTGCCTCAAAACCAGCTGTGCAAAATAGGGAAATGAATGGCAACTCTTTATTGAGGTTTTTTTTAAAGGATCAGAATCTTACTTAATGCTGTGTTTAGCAGCAGTGAAATAAAGGAGCTCTAATTAACTCACTGGAGCAGGTGGATGGGAAAACTCCTGCTAAAATGGTTTCCTGCTGAAAGGCTGGGATTATTCTGGCTGGTTAAGCTCAGACAGTCACCTGTGCTGAGGGAGGATGACTAATTTAGCTCAGTGCTGCCAATTAACTCCTGGCACATCTGTGGTGCCTGCAGGGAGGGAGGAGTGTGAAGGGCCAGGCTGTTCAGGAGCCTTCTCCTCCCTGGTGAGAGACACTTGGGGTTGGAAGCCCCAAAGAGGAACAGGAGCCAGGAACTTGATGAGAAACAGAAACATTTGTGTTTCCTTGACAGGTGCTGGAATCTGTGGCCTGAGGGATCTTTGGAGGCAGAAAAAAAAACTGTTGGCAGGTTTTAATATGGAAGGATTTGATGGGATTTAAATGTGATTGGAAAGTGAGGCTCCAATGGAATAATTTGCTTTAATGTTTCACGAAACCCCAAGCAGCCCATTCTGGGCTGGCCCTGCTCAGGGACCCCCAGGGCTGTGTCCAGTTCTGGGCCCCAGTCCAGGAAGGACCTGGAGGGGCTGGAGCGTGTCCAGGGCAGGGGCTGGAGCCCCAGGAGGGGCTGAGGGAGCTGGGCAGGGGCTGAGCCTGGAGCAAAGGAGGCTCAGGGGGCCCTTGTGGCTCTGCACAACTCCCTGCCAGGAGGGGACAGCCAGGGGGGGCCGGGCTGTGCTGCCAGGGAACAGGGACAGGACAAGGGCAAAGGGCCTCAAGCTGGGCCAGGGGAGGCTCAGCTTGGACAGCAGCAGCAATTTCTGCATGCAAAGGGTGCTCAGGCCTTGGCAGGGGCTGCCCAGGGAGCTTTGCAGTGCCCAGCCCTGCAGGTGTCCCAGCAAGGGCTGGAGGTGGCACTCAGGGCTCTGGGCTGGGGACAAGGTGGGCACTGGGCACAGCTGGCACTCCATGGGCTGGCAGGGATTTTCCAGCCTCTGAGATCCTGCATTTTATGAAGAATATTTAATTGTTAAATCCCAAATATGCTTGGCTTTAGCTTTGGTGGTTAGTCCAGGACTGTATCTCTTGTAGGTCTGGTAGTCCTCAACCTGAAATGTGGAAGATGGAGAGGGTCTTCTTACAAGGGTCTGGAGTGCCAGCACACAGGGAATGGCTCCCAGTGCCAGAGGGCAGGGCTGGATGGGACACTGGGAATGAGGAATTGTTCCCTGGCAGGGTGGGCAGGCCCTGGCACAGGGTGCCCAGAGCAGCTGGGGCTGCCCCTGCATCCCTGGCAGTGCCCAAGGCCAGGCTGGAGCAGCCTGGGACAGTGGAAGGTGTCCCTGCCATGGCAGGGGTGGCACTGGATGGGCTTTAATGATCCCTCCAACCCAATGTCAAGTCCAGCTCCCTTATCCTGCATTAAAACCTCCAACTGCATTAAAGGACTCCTCCTGTGGGCAGCATATTTCTGTTTTCATCTTCCTTTATTCCCTCCTGTGTAAAATCCACCAGGATATTTTAAACATTCATTAACTGAATATTTAAACTTCTGAAATCCTGTGCTGCCTTTTCCAGGCAACACAAAGTTCCCTGTTAGGCACCTTGGTTTGGGTTTTATTACCATTTATTACCATTACATCATCAATGTGTTCCATTGATGATATAGAATGATGATATAGAATATATCAATGATGATATAGAATATTATCAGGTCTCAAATACTGCAGAAGTGTTTTCATGTGTAAATTTTCACACTGATGTTTCTTTTCCTGTGTCTCATCAATCCAATCAGTGTTTGGGCTGGTGCAGGTTTAGAAATTATGCTTTTATGGCTCTCTCTTAGTAATAATTTAGTTGTTCTGCATACAGCAGGAGGGTTACAAAATCCTGTAGAGAGGCAGCAAAACTTTTCAAGTATTCCCAAATTATCAAATCTGAAGATCTGCCTAACATTAGGGTGAGTAACAATGCAAATGTAGCTGCTTTAAATTTGCCCTTTAGACTTTGGAAAAATAAAATTCACTTTTTTCTTGTCCATTAAAGTTTCTTATGCTGATGATGGAGAGCTTTATTTCTTTCTTATCCCCTTATTTATTTTCTAATGCACCCGGCTGGTCTTGACTGGTGTTTTAATTAACAACATTTGAGATTAATGCAATATTAAATGATCTCCACTGCATTAATTTGTAAATAAACCTCAGAGTTTATTGCATGCCTGGGAGGCGTTTATGGCTTCATGTTCTTCCAGCCATTATTAATTAAAATATGCAAATGCTGTCATTTTTCTGGGAGCCTGCAGAACAAATAGGGCTGTTAGCAGGGTCCAGTTATGTGCTGAACAAGGAGCTAACATGGAATTGTTGTGTCCAATTTATGGAATCACTCTGTGCCATTGATCTGGAAAAAATCAGGAATAAGTTGCTCTTCTCCCTTGCCTTTGGTGGTTTTCTTCTCTACACAAGAACTTTGTGTTCTTTGCTTTTAAAGAAAGCAAAGCAGGAGTTTTTCAAAGCAACTTTTCCCCTTTTTAAATGATTTTCTGTGGGGATAAGGAGAAAATTGAATCAATGACAGCCAGTCTGATTTTCTGGCTTTCTGAGAGCCCCTGACTTGCTATGAGAGAATGCAGAGCGTAATGATACCCCTGAGACAACTTAATGTGAAGGGAGGGCAGGATGCCCTGCAGGGAAGGCAAAAGGAGCACAAAGGGCTAAAGACAGGAGCAACCATGGGATTGTGGTGATTCAGGACCAAGGACAGCCCTCAGAGATGCCAGCTCCTCGCATGGTCTGCCCCCAGTGCTTGCAGCATTTTGTGTTTGTGGCTCAGGTCCTGACTGTTCATGTCCTCAGGCCAAGGAGACCCAAATTCCACCCACACTTCCTGTCACTCACTGCCACCCATGGAGTTTATAAACAATTTTCCCAGTCTGTCATTGGTGTTGTGGATGGGAATATTGATCAGTGCTGGGAGAGCTGTACAAATCCATGCAGAACTGAGTCAGTACTAGCACCACTCACTATTGCCCAGCCTTCATTTTGATAATGGGTTTAATTCTTTCTTAATACCACCCTCCACTTGGAGACTGCTGTTGGAATTCTTTTGTGAAAATATCCCAACAAACAATAGGAAAAGCTTGCACCATAGCTCAGCTACTTTAATGAGCCACAGTTTCTGCCCTGTTCAGGGGACTTGTTGTCCTGTTGGAAAATCAGATTAAATTTTGCTTCAGCATCCCTGTGTGCTGGAGAAATTCAGTTCTGTGTCATCCATCTTACAAATAATTTGGGTATTTGGGTTTCTGGGAATTGCACTCCACCAGGAAATCACAGTGTGATTTCCTGGCTCATTCCTCCATGAAGGATAGACCTTGGATTTGCCTTCCAGCATTTTAGTTCTCTGGGAGTGCCCCAAAATAAAATCTCTGGTGGCTTTGAGGTTGCTCTAGCCCCTGTATACACCAGGATGGACTTCACCAGGCTTGAATTCCAGCAGCTGACTCAAGGATGGTCTGTTCATGAACATCTTCCCTGCCTGACTCTTGCCCAGCTCTCAGCTGAAGTTTTGCCCCAGTTAATTTGGTTTGGAGCTGGAATGGGGCAGTTTTACCTCTCTGACCTTCTCAACATCATCCCTTCTGCTTTTCAAACCACTCCTCAGGTTCCTTCTGTGATTTAAACATTTCTTTGTTATCCTTTGTGTTCTCTCCTGTTTGTGTTCCAATTTTGCCTTGACTTCTTCTGACTGTGTCCCCATCCAGTTTTTCTTGCTCTTTCTTTGTGCTTATCCTTTCTATCTGACTTAGCTCCTATTTTTTATTTGGCTAAGCCAAGTTGTTTTCTTACTGCATTCCCTTCTCTGCCTGCACATTTAAATGGTTTGTGCTTCTGCTCTTAATTTTGGGGGGGCATATGAGTTGGGTTTTTTGTTATTTTTCTTGGGTTTTTATCTCAAAAAGTGGTGGTCAGCTCAAAGCTGTGCAGCCTTTGATTGTGGTCCACAGCAACAACTTGACAGGAGCAAGGGGGGGATTGGCCTCTTCTCTTCTAGACCAGAGGAAATGGCCTCAGGTGGCACCAGGAGAGGCATCAAAAGTGGTTTATTCAACTTTTGAAAGATTTTTTTTCCACCTAATAGGTGGAATATCCTCATTTTGGTGCTATTAATGTCTGTTCTTAAAGGTCTTACCCTGATCTTCAACCCCCAAAAAGCAAATTATTGGGGTGGGTGAGTGCTGCAGTTGGAACTCACTGGAGCATCAGCCAAAGATTGGGATTCTAATAAAATAACAGAAAGAGGGATCTTGATAAGAAGTGGAAAATGGGAAGAAAGGAAAATGAAAGTTCAGTATAATCAGTGTGGAGCTGCAGAAAAATAGAAGTAAATTATTAAAGCCTGAATTTCATACTCATGCTGCTGGATGTAGCTGTAATTTGATAATTAGATGATTACTAATAATTAATAGCAATTATTATCCTACATTCAGGATATTGTCATTTCTGTACAGCATAGGAATTCTGATGTGCTTCAGCTTTATCTTGAGTAGCCCATCAATAACCAAAGTTGCCTTAGAAACAGGGATTGGTGTCATCCCTGTGGGAAACTTTCCTAAAACTTAATTCCCAAGTTTCTGCATAGAAGGGAAGAGAGGAAACCTTTGTCACTGACTGATTTTATCCTTTTTTTTCCTTCCCTAAAGGCTTTTGATAGAGAGGGCGACCCCATCAAATACCTCATTCAGAATGGAGATCCTCAGCAAGTTTTTAATCTCTCTCAGAGGTAAGTGGAAAACCCTTGGAAAACAGGCTTGGAACTTGTCAGCCCAGGAAATGAGGAGCTGAGAGAAAAGGGTTGTGCTCAGACACCTTCAGCTGCTCCTTCCAGGGGCTCTCAGCCATTCATGAGAGCTCTGTGAGCCAAATTCCACTCTGGGCTTTGTCACTGGCCACTGTTTATTTATTTTAAACACTTTGGGTAAGAGAAACTCACTGAGGTGGAAAGATTCCATTTAAAAGAGTGGCCAGGGATTAATTAAAACCCTTTTACCTGTCAGCTCCTGACTAATGGCAGGGACAATTTTTGCTTTAATTTCCTGACCTGTTATGGTTTAGCCTATAGTGAAAAGCCTTTTGAGCATTGTTTAAGAACTGTATTTTCATTAAATTGAATTCCAGCTTAAATAGAGTGAGAAAGAGAGGGTTAATTATGAAGTGTAAGCACCAGATTGGTGTGTGCCTGGCCCACCACCCCCTATTTTACCTATTATTAGCTATTAATTATTATTTGCAATCTAAAGTATTCTTTTCCTTGCAGGAGGAAGGGAGGGGGCAGTGACCTGACTTCCCACAATAAATGATGGGACAGAAGTAACTTGAGGCTTATTAATTCCTGGTGCAAAAGAATTCTAATTTGGTGTGAGGGAAACATTGTGACTCTAAATCCCCAAACCTCCTGAGACAGGCTGATGTTTTAATCCAGGATTATTCCTGTATCCAAGTGGAAGGCATTAGGAATTGGCTCCAGGCTTTTCTTGGCTTTCACCCACAGAAAGCCTAAAAGCTCCTACAAAGAGGAGCCTTGGTGTCAGCAAGGTAGTGGAGCTCAGGTGCTCACAGACCTCTCCCAGGTGTCCTGCTAACGTGTCCTGGTGTTGTTTCATTGCCAGCTCTGGCCTGCTGTCCTTGGGAAAGCCCCTGGACAGAGAGAGCACTGACCGCTACATCCTCATCGTCACGGCCTCGGACGGCAGACCCGACGGGGTGAGTGTCTGATGGGGCCTTGGGAAGGCTGACCTAGACCAGAGTTAAAGAATAAAGCAGGGATTTATCAAAAGGCCTCCATGGATCCACCTTGGGCAGCACAAGAGCCCAGCCAGGGCTGCACCCAAGGTGAACCAAAATGGTCACAAAATGGACACCTGGTCACAGGGTCTGTCACTGTGATCAGTTCTGCTCCATTTGCATATTGGAGTTCATTGTCCAATTACAGATTCAGGTTGTGAAGTCCCATCCTGCTTGTTTTTCTCTCTTCAGTCCATGTTGTTTGTGCTCTTGGGCCTGAGATCTGGATCATTTGTCCTTGGTCCCCAGCTGGAGCAGGAATTGTTTTGTCTCCCTGCTCTGTGCACAGAGCTCACCATCCCTTAATGTGAAGCTCAGACCCACACACCAAAGCAGCACAGAATCTGAAAAATACAAAAGCTAAACCTGAGGCATCTGAGTGTGAAGGGGCTGGGCAGCACTGGCCACCTCCATGTGGTCTGACTGTGTGTTTTCCATGGATCTTGACCAAACCTATCTGAAATCTGGGAGTTTTCCTTTGGTTGGTGTGGGTGAAGCCTGTGTGTCTCTGCCTTGATGATGGACAAAGGTATTTTGCTGCTGCTTTGTGTTATTCTTTAATAGCCAAGGGTTTTTGTATTTACAGATGTTCATCTTCTGTTTCTTCTCTGTGCTATTCAATACCTGGTTCTCTTCTTCCTTTCTCCCAGATGTGGAAGTTTTATTGGTGATTTGTACTTTTTCCAGCCCTGTTCCACAACTGACTGTCCAGATTTCCAGAAAAATCTGGGAAAATCCCACTTCTCTTTCAAAAATAACAAATTTTTGTCAAGAGCTATCTCCAGGTCTTGTATGTTTGCACCAATCTATGACCCCACAACCAGCCCCACCAACTGCTGCTCACACTTGTGTTTAATATAACAAAATGGTGATTTTTTTTTCAATTTTCATATTATAAAATGGTGGACAATTTAAGGATATGTGTTTATTGATCAGACAGAGGCAATAGAATTATTTTTCCTGAAAGTTTGCAGCTGGATTGTGCTGCTGGGAATGCAGCAGTTCTGCCACAGAATAGTAGCACAGGTGGGGGAGATATCTCTGTACATCTGACCTTCTGTATAAGGGCAGATCTAAAATAATATCAATAATTAATAAATAACAAGAATGGGCTGTTCTAGAAGGATTTGAGATTGAAACAGAGCTGTCTCTGTTTCACACATTGCTATAGAGTGATCATGAAAATTCTGGGATTTGGACCTGCTCTCATTGTGACAGAAGAAAATCTCATTCATTTTTTCTATCTCATGCTCTTTTTGGCTTTTTTACCTTACCATCTTTACTTTCCTACTCAGGATTTACTCAGAATTTCCACACACACCCAAAAATATCAAGGAAGCCTTTATACAATTTAGTGACAACATGGAGTAATTATCAGAGTCTCCACCTTTTCCATGAAAAATCTGGTTTCAGCTTTTGTGGGTTTGTTCTTCATGAACTGCTCTCACAGCTGCGAGTTTGGTGGTTTTGATCTCAAACTCTCAGCTGGGAAATCTGAAGATGTAAATTAAAGACTTGCAAGTTGGTTCAGGCTGTGTTACGCTCCTGAAATACTCTCAGGGATGTAAAAAAAAAGGGGACTGAAAAGCTCATTCCTTTTCCTTTCATCTAGAGAGAGATTCATTCGCTTTGCCCCGGGATTAAGTGGCCAGCTTATTAATTCTAACATTCTGAAGGTGATAGTTGGGGTTTTGAAAGGAAATCCTGTTAATCATGGCACAGTGCTTAGCAGAAAATAGTTGTATGTGAGCTGAGATACAGTGTTTGAAGCTCAGCTCTGGAAAAACCACCCAAAATATACCATGGAGGGCTCCTTTAGAGCTGGCCCTGGACTGTGCTGTTGAACACCTCTTGAAGTTCTTGTTACTGGTTGTAACAACAAAATCCACTTTAAGAACTCCATCCGCTGGTATCTCATCTCCTCTCCTCCCTCAATCCCATTGGCAGGGGCTGCCCAGGGAGCTTTGCAGTGCCCATCCCTGCAGGTGTCCCAGCAAGGGCTGGAGGTGGCACTCAGTGCTCTGGCATGAGGATCAGCCACAGAGCAGATCTGATAATCCTGGAGATCTTTTCCAGCCGTGTTGATTCCATGACTCTGTGATTTCATACCAGATGTTTTGCCCTGGAATGTTGCAGCTGTGTGTGCATTGCTCTCAGGGTGAAACATGGGCACACTCTGTAGCTTGAGCATTTTCCCTCTGCCTGGTTGGGGTTTTTTGTCACTGTCCCTTCCCTGCCTGTAGCTGCTTTCTGTGGTTCATATTTTCTGTCAGTGGTGGGGCACCTTTCTTGTCAAGATTGTCCAGCAATAGGACTCAGTTGACCAAAGCTCCTGATGCCAGCAGCTGGAAAGGGTTAAGAGCTGGGCTTGCCAGGATTACAAAAAAGGCTGGATAAGCTCCTTGGCTTTCATTTTGCAAACAAATGGATGAAACAAAGCAGCTCAACCAAGCCATTAAATCTCCAGGCCTTTTCCATGCCAGGAAACAGTGGGTGTGACTGATTTGCCAGGCTTCCTTGTGTCTTTACAATTCCCTCGATTTGCAGCTCTTCTGGATGTGCTCCTGCTGTTTGACAGGCTTCTCCTGGAGGAGGGTCAGGACTCCCTCATAGTTCCTGGTTGGTACCATGCCAAAGCCTTCTGAGGACACAAATCCTTAGTCCAAGTGGTTCCATTTCATGGAGCAATTTTGCTTTTAAACTAGTTTTTAGCAGGAAGCAGCAGTGTCTTTCTAGGAAAAAAAAAAAATTCTAAAATTACAAAACCACTGCTCCCCAAGCCCATTCACCTGCTGCTTGTCATCCAGCTCTACTTTTTGTGAACAGTTCCATTAATGCCTACAGAAAACTGATGATGTCACCAGATGCCTTCTTGCAGTTTGCCTGAAATCCAAAATTAATTCCCCAGGCAGGTACAATGTCATTTAAATCCCATTAACATATTTTAGCTGGTAACATATCCAACCTGATCCCTTTCCATCCAACATGAAACCAGCTATTAGAGTCAAACCTACTTAAAGTCAGCTTTTGGATTTTATTTCCTGTATTTGCTTGGGGTTTTTTTTTAAATTTGAAAGGCATTCAAAGGGAAAATACTTTACTGGTGTGCAGGGAGTTTTGTTGCATTTGTTGTGGTTTTTTTTCAGTGAGATGTGATGGCTTGACCTTGTCCTACCCCTGCCCTCCTCAGCTGGACAGGGAAGAAAAATATGAGCAAAGACTCAGGAGTCTTATAACCCCCCACTATCAGAAGCTTGCCACACAAACCCAGTGCAGCAGAACTTTCCTCCACAGTTGCACCATGAATAATTGGCATTTGTACATTTTTGCAGCTTGTAAAGTTGAAGTAGGACAGTCATAGGATCCCCATTTAAGTTCCAGTTGCACAGGAGGTCTCAGGAGCTGAGGTTCCTCAGGCACTGACAATTTAAATGTGGTTATTTAATCCATACCTTTCAAGCATAAAGATGACCAAAAAGCCCTCACAGAGTGGGGGAAAAGGGAACATTTGTATTGGTCTTTCATACTCACCTGAGTAAGTTCAGTGTTTGTAGCTTCACCCAGTGATTCAGTGGTTCAGAAACTGAGGCCAGCACTCCAGAATTTCAATATCCACAATATTTCCCAGCCAATCTTTGTGTGAACAAAGATTTTTAGCCACTATGACATGAAAGCAAAGGGGCAAAACTTCTGCTCATGAGTTTTTAAATAATAGTGTATAAAATCCTGGAATACCTCAGCTGGGAAAGGTTGCTATGCTTGAAAATTGTTGATGCTTTCAGGAAGAAATCTATCCCAGACTGCTTTGGAAGCTTTCTGTCTCAACATGATGGCTCTCTTGTTCTCAGAAAACCATGGAGCTGAGCAAGGCTCAGGTATCCCCAGCCCTGACAGCATCTTTCTTGGCTCAGGGAGACCCATTAAAATAGATTTTTCTTCCCATTCTGGTATCTCCAGGAGTTTGGAGGACAGCAGGACAGCTCCCACATGAGCTTGTGGGTCCAGGAGCCCCAGCCTCACACTTGTGGGGAGCACTGTTTCTTCAGGATATGCCTTTCCCATAGTTAGGAATGCCCCAGAATCCTTAAAGTTGGAAAAGACCTCTGAGATCATCAAACCCAACCATCAACCAGCTCCACTACTACCATGTCCTCAAGTGCCACATCCACACGTGTCTTGAACACTTCCTTCCAGGGATGAGGACTCCACCACTTCCTCAGAAGCTGTTCCAGTATTTCACAATGCTTTTGGTGAAGATATTTTCTTTCATATCTAAGCTAAACATCCCCTGGCACAACTCCAGGTCATTTCCTCCCATACTGGAGAAGACATCTTGCTCTTTCCTTTCCAATTCCTGGGTTCTTCATCTTGGACCTCCTTCTTCCACAGCTGCCACCAGGGCAGGCCAATGCTCTGTGCCTGCCCTAAAATCCACTGGAATTTAGGGTAGGATACAATGTGGTATTTGCTCTCCTTTTGATCCCTGATATTCTTTAAAGAAACCCCCGTTATCATCAGTGAAGTCTGTTGAGCTCATTTTTGCATTTGGTCCCACACACCTGAATTTCTGGGGGTTTTAAGGGTCTTAGATTTTTTTCTTGCTTGTTTTTCTGTGTCATTACCAAAGGGCCTAAGAGAGCTTTGTCAAGACTGCTGTGGCATGGAGTAATTGAGGTTTCTCTTTTTAAGCCCCAAGGCTGATTTAACTGCTTAATATGGTGTGGTGGCAGTCATGGTGACACCACTTGACTTTGGGGGGACTGTTAATTCCATCAAAATTAATCCAGAGCCACCGATGCCCTCACCCAGCACCTTGGCTTTCCATGGAATGGGGTGGCCTGGCTGCCACCTTTCCATTACTCTTCCCTGGAATGCTCCTGATTGTTTAAAATGCTCAGCTGTGCTTCCCATGTTATTGT